TGAGTTCTTCTGTGTCATCATGTTCTATTAGTTCTACAGCTTCAGTTTCTGAACTTTCACGCTTAGTAACACATACAGCTGTGTCCTCGCCACAGTGCAACAGTGAAAATAGACCCCCCCCAAACGCGTTCCGAACATTATTTAAACGACACCGGTATTGCGGTATTTTAAAAATTCATATCATAAGAAAAATAAACACCGGTATTCGGTATGAACCGGTATACCGCCCAGCACTACTTCACAAGACATCAAAATGATAGACTGGAGTGGAGTGGATTACTTGTGAATTACTGTGATGTTTTTATCAGCTGTTAACTCTCTAATTCTGACGGAACCCATTCACTGCACAGGATCCATTGCTGAGCAAGTGATGGAATGCTACATTTCTCCAAATCTGATGAAGAAACAAACTCATCTACATCTCAGACATCCTGAGGGTGAGTACATTTAGGCCTGTCGCAATAATCAATATATCGACTTAACGTGCAATATATGTACATGACCTCAATCATTTTTGGTGACGCAATATATCGGCCATTATATTTACTTAAAAATGTATGTCACTATGTTTTGTACATTCCACTTGCGCCTGTGTCTTTTGCAGCATCTCGTACATAATGTCATCTGACTGCTAAGTAGTGATTGTGTTTTTCAGCAATAGTGTGCACCCTTCGTTTACAGAGAAAAGAAGGTCAGGGAAAAATCTGTAGATGGAAAAATCTCCATACAAGTTCTTTGTGCATTTTTCTTTTTTTCTACTTTACACTTTTTGTTTAGTGTTTTTTTGTGTTTATTTACTATTTATTCAGGTTTTTTAAGGCATCTAATATTTTGATACTTAATTCAAAAATGCTTCTACAAACAAAGTTTCATCTGCAGATATTATCTTGTTTAGGGATCTGTGCCTTTGTGCATACGGACATCTGACTGCTAAGTAGTGATTGTGTTTTTCAGCAATAGTGTGCACCCTTCGTTTACAGAGAAAAGAAGGTCAGGGCAACATCTGTAGATGGAAAAATCTCATTACAAG